GAATGAATTTTTTTTTTTTTACTTTTCTTGCCTTTGAATTTTCCTTCTGACTTTTTTTTTTCCCCGTGACATTTTTCCCCTCGCTCACCCAAATGTATGACTTAGAAGAAATTCTACTTAGGCACAATTTTACCCTAAAGTATGTCAACCCCCTTTTTTTTCAATGGGGTACCCTAATCATTTACGATGAACAGGTATGTCTATTATTTAAGAGTCATGTTAATTTCTTTGTATTTGCCGGGCATTTCATCTCTGGCGGGTCATTGACAAATACTTTGCGCCCGTTGAGCCAGCTGTTTGTTAGTCGTGCCATTCCAACATCGATCTGTCATGAAAGCACTGTTGGAAATAAATGTCGTTGCTCTCAATTTACATAGGATTTTCATTCACCAAGATAACTCGATACTTTTTTTTAAAATATTTATAGTCGCTCATGGTATGGGGTGGGGGAGGGTGCAGGGGAGCAACGTAAACTGGAAAAAAAAAGGGGGGGGGGGAACAATGATCAAGATTGTCGTGTTAAGGTCGCCTAGCAACCGACGAGGCGTTTACCTGAATGCCCATTGTCGCGTTGACAGATATTGATTGGGGTACATAAAAAATATATTTGCACGTATATCGAATATGCATAATTTTTACACTTTTTAAAATTTTTTTTTTTTTTGGGGGGGGGGCAATCAAGCACAGCAACACTTAAGCCTTTTACAGACAGTGATAGGTGTTTGCACATTAAGAAATTCACGCGACGTTAAAATAAGAAGCAGTAAATGCCTCTGTAGTGTTAAATAAAGATAAAAGTAGAATAGGCACTCCGGGATGTGACGCCATTGATTGCAACATAGATAATATTTTATCGAGCATTAAATGTGCTGTAGTTGTCAGTACACTGTCTGTAGACTAACAGTAGACTGTAGACTAACAGTAGACTGTCTGTAGACTAACAGTAGACTGTCTGTAGACTAACAGTAGACTGAAGAAACTGATCATAAAACAGGAAGTCTATTTGCATTCCCCATTAAACTTCGTTTCCCATTATAATTTCTCGTACTTTGTAAAACTTCCTTGGTCAAGTTTTCACATTTCAAAATCTTGCAAGCTAAGTTGTTTTTTTTCAATTTATTTTCTTGTGTTCCTTGTTATTGTACTCTCACTCTCAGAAGAAGGCATTCGGCCAAACCTTTTTTTTTTGTTTTTTTGTTGTTGTTGTCGCGTAGTGTTCTTCAAGCCGTCGAATTGTCGAATAGACCATTCTTAATATCTCCTAGTTCTCAAGTACATGGTCTAAAAAAGACACGGTAACGGGGCGGTACTTGTGATCAAATCGTCGTCTAAGTCTAAGAAGTGTAGCACTTTACAAAAATCCCAGCAAGGCGTCCACTTCTCACACTCCTCATTCGATCACGTTACCGGTAGTAGCCCATTCCCGTTCGATACTCGCACTTGGCGTTTCCAAGCCGGTCCCGGATTTCACGGTCAGTTGGTCCTGGCTTTCACGCCCGTTCATGCCGCTTCCAGTTTAACCCAAAACGGAACCCATCCGGAGAGCAGCATTGATCGGCAAATTCGGAACGTTGATTCTTCACTACGCTCTGATTCTTCACTACGCTTATTCTTCACTACGCTCTGATTCTTCAAAACGCTTATTCTTCACTACGCTCTGATTCTTCACTACGCTCTGATTCTTCACTACGCCTTCCTGCCCATTCTGCGTGTTTCTTGTATCCTTTTTTCTTTTTTTTTCTTTTTTGTGTGTTTTTTTTTTTACTCAGTTATAGGAAAGTTATTCCTGACTACTTGATCGGCAGCGCNTTTCTAAAAAAAAAAAAAAAAAAAAAAACAGATAAAAAAAGGTTGTGGACAAAAAAAAAAAAGAGGGGGGGGGGGGGGGTAGCTATTAAGAAAATAATAACAAATAAAGACTATTTCGTTGCTTCTCGGGCCGCCAAGTGGGTGCTGGTGGGCCACTTGCGGCCCGCGGGTCGTATGTTGTGCGGGCCTGGTTTAAAGGCCGGGAGGCAGGGGACTGTCTGTAGTTCTATTGTTTAAGAACCGGCATATATTATAGGAAAAGGAGAAGTTAACGCTTGAATCCAACGGGTATCTTCTCATACTAACCGGGCCCTGTGCAAAATAACTGCATCCAGTCAAGCCCTGGTCACATAATAAGATAGTTACGGGTAATATCCCACACAATGGCACAGGGGACGAACTGTTCATGTTCGACATATTTTTGCCCATTTCAATTGTTGGTACGGCCAATTTCAATGACGCTATCGTTAATTATTACCTTTGTTGTTTCAAAGCAAAAACTCATTTGGCACAACGGCCAACTTTATTTTAATCAATCAATCAATCCATACCAACGTTAGGACGTGGGAGTTCTAACTACACGGTAAGATGTGTCCCTCGGCACTTGTTGATGTCGGGTTCTGAGAGGGTTCAGTGAACGTTAGACACAAGGTTCGATCACATTCTGGGTGTCGGGTTTGGGTGGGGGAGGGGCTTGTTGCGGGGTCACGTGTAGGCGAGCACAAATCAGCCGACCAATGCGTGGCACCGCGAGGTTAAGCAAACTTACTAACTGACTGGGCATTCGTTCAAACCAGTGGCGACGCTACACGAGGTCCCGCCGGGTCCCAGGACCTGGTAAAAAAACTTGGGACCTGGCAAATGACCTGGTAAATTTTTATTAGTTACTAACATTGTATATATGCTCATTAAGCATAAACTACATTACATGTAAGAGAACTTCCATTTTAAATGTTTAAATTTTTATCGAAAACAAAAGTCAATATAACGTCATAAAATGTATTATATATAAAATTTAAGTTTTTAACTTGTAAGAGGCCATCCATATTAACGTATGCAAAAATATTGCGAATTTTGACCCCCCCCCCCCCCCCC